TGTCTCCTTTTGGAGATTGTCAATTGCCGAGCTATTAATATACTAGTGTAATCAACTTAAGAATATCATTAGAACATGATTATTCAAACTATCGATAAAGCAAACAAGAAGTAAGAGTTATAAGAACAGATGAAGAGCAAGCAATTGTCCAAAGATGTTTAACAAGCAGAAAGAGACTGTCGCAATCATAAAAAAAACTTACCAAAAAAAAAACTTCAAAAGTCTCAAAAGCGGGTCAGATCCAGTCCTTAAACTCCATTCCTTAAGAATGATCTTAAACCTATTCCAGCAAATAAGAGGAGGAGAGATAATCATTATCAATCATTGATTAACTAACTAACAGGGCAAGGATGGAATATAAATAATAATTAATGATATTAATAAAATAAAAATTAATCCGACGAACCAAAAAATCGCCGCCAGAAACCATTTTCGTTTGGAACCCTAAAATCTTCCGCATCATCTCCATCTTCTCCGGCGTTGCAGAAGAGAACTTCTCCATTACGATGGCAACACCCTTGCCTACATCGGACTCCCTTATGCCGTTTCCCACTCCCCCGGTGTGGCGGAGCCCCTTTCCTGTCCGTCCGTTCGTTCAATGGCGGCAGGCGCCCACAAACCTCTCTTTCCCGTGCTGTGATTGTTGCCATTCTTCACCGGCCGGTAGCACTCCTGGTGTAAACCGTAATATTTTATTAATAAAGTGGTTATAATTTGTTAGTAACAAAACGTGGTTACTAATAAATTCAGTTTGTTTAATAACTAGTCAAAGTGGAATAAAAATAAAAGGTCTACACAAAATTAGTGGGCAGCCTAGATACAATCTGAGCTCCCACCCCCTTAGCGACAACAAAGCTAAGTCTAGTGAAAATGTACGCGGTCGCCCGAGCCCCCGCATCCTAAGAAACACATAATTTCTGGATGCGCTTAAGCAGAGGTACAACATCCGAATCCAACTCCCCCAGCGAAGAGAAAGAAAAGGGCAGAAACCCGTAACCAGCCGCCATCACAAGTCCCGATACTTAGCACACTTTCGCCGAGCGGCATCAGCTACAACTCGGTTGGGCACAAAATCTGTCATCCCAGTCTGAGTCAAAGGGGAAGACCCAGTAAGATAAATACACACATCTCACCCCCTATCTCAGGAATAAAGCAGCAAATCCGTAGGACGAAGGGGTCCGCCATGTCCATCAACCAAACCGATATCAACCTCCTTTCCGACAGAAATCCCAGACCTGTAACAGATGAACGAGGTTATGCCAATGCTTAATGCCCACAATACCAGCACAGGTGACAACATAATCCCCAAAGACATTACCATCAAAGACACAGGAACAAGCAGAACAAGGTCTAGATACGAAAAAATAATGGGACACCCAATCGATAACTAAGCACACTACGATATGTCCTTCCATTCATAGTCTGATCCAACCCAGCAAAGCAACCTGCCGCGTAGTCAATGAGAAAACAGAGTCTGAAGAAGCAGAAACCTTCGCGAAATATATGTCTGCCAATTTCTTCATAAGTTTTGGGGCAGCAACTTCGCTAGGGTCACGTAAGATTTCAGAACCTGTAAACTCAATGAATGTGCGTAGGACATCATCAAAACCAGGGACAGGAGAGTGAATACCAGAAGCACATAGTAGCTTAGCCTGCAACCCAGCAGACTGCAGACGAGATGCCAAAAAAGCATAATGCAAGACATCTCCAGCAGCATAAAGCCCAAGCCGACCTAAATGAAAAGGGAAAGTGGCAAGTCGCCACTGGCAATCACCGAACCCTGGCCCAGAAGCAGTGACAATACGTTCTAAACTGGAACGAAGGAATGTATGAAAAGAGAGCTGGGCCGGCCCAAAAACACGAGGGGAGTAAGTACACAAAGCAAAGTAGAGTTTTCGAAATACCAGTGATAGTAACTAGTCTGATTTCAATTTGTTAATATGTGGTTACTAATTAATTCCATTTGTTTAATAACAAATATGCCCCATTGATTTTATTTGGTTGCTTCCAGATGCGTAGTTTATATGATATAATTGTTACCTCATTATTATTGATCGGTTGATAATATTAATAAAAAAATTAATAATTGTATTTTGGTCCGATAATGATTGCTATAACACTACGACGACGTCATTGATAATGAAACATCGAATTGGTTGATAAAAACAGGGTACGGATCAGGTTAGTAACTGTATGGTCAGTAACCATGATTAACTCGTCCACATCAGCATGACATTAGTATCTCTCTCTCTTTGAAAGTCTTAACTCTTTTCTCATTTAATCTTTAACGGACGATTTCTCTCTCGTTTTAAGTCAAAATTTAAATTTTTTGCACAGATAAATCAGAATAAATGTGCTCTTTAAAATGATATCCACTTTGATATATTTTTAGTACAAAAAAATTGAATAATTTTTTACCAGTCCTTGCCATATGGTATGCTCCTATTTAATACCATATGGTAATAAAGTGTACCATGATGGTATGAGCATACCAATATAGTAAGAAGATTGAATATATTATAGTAGGAGTATACTAACTGTCATTTACGACTTTCATCATTGTTTACTACAACCTACCACAAGTTACCACCCACATACCATAGTGGTAAAGTATGGTAATTATTGGTACATTATTTTTTTCACCCAGAAATTTGTAGATCCAATAGATCATGATGAACTCGTTCCTTCTGAGTAAACGTTTTAAAAAACGACTTAAAAACGAAGAAGTTACCATATGATATGTGGTTGGTAAAAAAAAAAGTTTCTTGAAATATATTAAAAATTTATCTCATTTTATAGAGCACAACGAACTCGTTCCATCTGTGCAAAAAAAATTGAAATTCGATTTAGAACGAAGAATGAAAACTAGGGAAAATAAAATGCCTTTAATTGACAACCCTTAGATCTGGATTTTCTAGACCCAGTTAGATCTAAAGGTCCATATTTAGTTACTCATAGGTCAGTAACCATTGGTTACTGACCCTATCCTAAACTATAAAACATGCTTCGTTCATAATCACTTATCCACATGGATGAAAGCGTAAATAATAACACCTATAGAAACTATTAATAATGTAGTGTAAATAAATAATAATTAAGGATTACAAATTGACTACCTCGTTATGTTCCATTAATAATATCGAATCAAAGGTTTAATAATGAAATGTTCATCTAATTGATTCCTCGGTATTGAGCTCTTAGAAATTGTCAACCTCTTTATGTTTCATCAATGACCTCGTACCAAAGTGTTATTAATGAAATGTCTATCTAATTGTTTCCTTGCTATTACGATTTAAAAACTAAAAACATCAACATGTTTTATTAATATGCTATTATGAAAAATTGATAACCGTATTTGTCCAGCTAATTATTCAGATAGAATTTAGGTTTATCCTATCAAAAGAACGAAATGTCGTTGATAATGAATCTTAAAAAACGTTATAAAATACTCTATGAAACATTAATAGTGATAAGTTCATATTTTGTTAATGAATCTTTAAAACGTTATAAACTACTCTATGAAACATAAATAGTATAGTTCATATTTTGGTAATAGTGCATCTTAAATGTTTGATATACACCCCATTGATGGAAATTCTTAAGATATACGTTAATAGCTCAATTAATAGTCTTTGGTAACGCTTCATTCTCTTTTGTTAAGGTTGACTTATCAGCATGTTACTACCAATATATAAAGAACCCAAATTAAGTATGCCGAGTCCAAGTCTATTACGGTTTATTTAATTTTTCTCCTCCTCGAGTAATGAGAACTCAATATGGTTTATTTACTCCAAATCTATTCCAGTTTATTTCATTCCTTTTCTCTTTTCAGAATAAGAAAATACATCGTGGTTCGCTATGAGAAATGATGAATCGATGTACTTTATAAAATATTTTTTAATTAATTTTTTTTTGAATACCCTTGACAAAATTTCTGGGTCCGCCACTGCCATAAAGAAATTTGTACCCTTATGTTATGGTACAACTTTACGTAGTAAAGTTGTACCATCACATAAATGTACTAGTTCAAGTTGTACCATGAAAGAATTTGTACAAAAGAGTATAGGTACAATCTAAAGTTGTACCATAACGTTAAAGGTATAACTTCAAGTTATACCATAAAGACAAAAACCTATAACACAAATGCTATATAGTATAGTAAAATTCCTCCCAAACAAATTAAAATCATTGGGAAAGACGCCGGGACAATGGGCAACACGGAGGAAAGTAGGACAACGGAACGATGGCAACCAACTCTTCCTCCTACGAACCTCTGACAAATGATGTTAAATTGTTAATGCTAGTGTTATTTAGCATTAATAATCACACATTAGAAAATTGATAACGACAACATATGCATACTTTTTAATATAATTTAATCAACAATTGATAAGTTCATATTAATAATACCACATTAAAGTATGGATAGCAATAAAAATTATATGACGATGGGTTTATTAATAACTCCAAATTTAAAAATTGATAACAATAACATATGCATGCCTTTTATTCTAACATGAAAATTATTGATGAAGAATTGATAATCGTCCAATTTTGTATTAATAATGCCACATAAAAAATTGATAACGATAACATATAAATGTGCGTTTATACCTCATGAAATCTTTTAAACTACTACTTCTCAAAGTTCAAAACACATGCATAAATCATTAATTTTATCATCATCATCACAAGTTCACGACGAGAATACGAACCTTTGAAAAATGATAAAATTATTAATAACATGCTCATCATTTGACATTCATAATCATGCATTAAAAATTTGATAACGACAATATATGTCTGTTGACAAACGGTAACCAAGCTGGTAAACTGCACAAACAAAGCCGGGTGTCGGGACGTCGGGAAGCTTCACGATGATCGATCATCGACGAAGGAAAAATAAGAAATAAAGTTAGATGTCGGGATCTAACTCACTTGCTGCTCATGTGGCGAGCAATACGGAGGAACGTCGGGACTAAGGGAAGCCGGAACGCTGCATGCTTCTCAGTCGTCAACTAAGGGAAGGCAAGGCTGCTGCTTGCTGCAACATTGGGGATGCCAGCAAGCTACACGCTTCTCGGCTGTCGACGAAGGGAAGGCAAAGCTGCTTCTTGCTGCGGCGTAAGTTGAGGCGTCGATCGATTTATGGAGAGAAGTGGATCGGCTGGGAGAAGGTAATTAGGCGACGACAGCTTGGAACGGCCGACGACTGCAGTGGACAAGGAGGACGGTGAACGTTGTTTGAGGACAATATAAACGATTTGGCTCCAAATCATGGAAAAAATAAAACAAGACGGTTAGGGTTATGTTTTTAATTTATTTAAAATTCCCTAAATACCCTTAACAGATAATTAACTAATAACTCCTCCTTAATTAGCTAAAATTGAATCAGCCAATCACAACGCTTTAAGATCCTCTTTAAAAAAAGGCCTTAAGGACCTGAACTCAGGCCTCTCAAAAGTCATTAAAGATATCAAAACTTAGCCCTCGTAGTAGAATAATCTCGGTATTCATAGGGAGCATATTGCGGTGAGTTTGGATCGCTCCTGTCGGCAAGAGAGATGACTCACAAAGATCGGGATCACTCATGTCTGCTCGAGAGTCTGTGCATGTCTAGTGTTTGTCACTCTCACTCTTGATACATTTCTTCCCCTTCTATCTATATAATGCATCGTTAGTCATTTCAATAGTCATTTAAATGAGCCTTTAATAGACATAGGTTATGTTATTGTACTCTTTGATGCCTTCTAGGTATGTTTTTGTTGGTTTAAAAGGTATTAAGAAACCCAAGAAAGATTGGTTTAAAAGGTATTAAAGAACTCTAGAGGACCAAATGAGCTATAAAGATAAGAATATAGAGCTTTTGTGAGAAAGATGAGGTCCAATAATGAACGTGAAAAAGATGAGGTCCGATGACTGAGAATTCAACTGAAAGTCGCTTAATAAACTCAAGCAAACCCAAAGGAAGAAGACTCGGCCCAAGATGATGAAGAAACGAGCGGCGGCCCAGCATCTGGCCCAACCTCCGCGGGAGGAGGCTTGATCAAGTGTAATCGCAGAATGGAAATGCAGAATAGTGGCAAGTTCAATTTATCAACCCGCGGTCCAGATCTACTGCTTACTCCGTGATTATCTATTATCTAGCGAGACTAAGAGTAGTGGGAGTGATTGCAAACAAAATCAGTAAGAAAGCAGGAAATGGTTCGAAGTTCTTAAGCGAGGGAAGAGTCATTCGGGAATGAGTCTCCCTAACTCCTTAGTTAGGTCAAAGTTGTAATTACCTTTGGTTGATTTACTGTTGATTAAACTGCGGAAGATCCGATAGTAGCTTGGAATCTCTTAAACTGACCAAGCCCTCTTAAACAGCCCAACCGGCACGCGACTAGCCTTCACTGGGATAGACTATTGAGGCAATTAACACAGAACTCCACTACTGGAATTGGATTCCAGTACAAAGCAATGAATCGACTAATTCTCGTATAATCGATTCACTACTACCGATTGAAGAAGATCTAACAACCTAATCAAACTCTATCTGTCTCAGTTTGTAGCAGAAATCAGGAAAAGTTGATCAGGCTTCAATTGACTCAATAAAAACACTTACAATCATATATAATCAAGCAGTATCACAAACCAAAAGTTATTACAATCAACATCCTTAACACATGGAACTAGGGTTCTTCATACCCAAGTGAGAGAAAGGTCTACTCCATAGAGAGAGAGGAAAACAGAAATCAAAACAATCATACTCATAAAGATGGGATAATATGCTCTCGGATGTCAATCTTCACTCCTGGAGATGCAATCTGGGCTTCAATGGTAAGAAATCCACTCCAAATAGCTCCTAGGGTTTGTTCTTCGCACTTTCTAGCTCTAGAACTCTGTTTTCTCCTCAAAAAGTTGGGCGACTTTCCTTTGGGTCGAATCTGCCTCAAAACCCGATTCTGAGCGAAATACGGGCAGAAATACGATCGTAAATATGGCCTGCCTGTATTTTGCCCAAAACTCGCGTTTCACTTACGCTGATGAAAGGGAAACACGGTCTGCATTACCAAATTACTGCAGTAATCGTGGAATTACGACCGTAAACCATTCTATTCTTGCACGTATTTTGCTCTTCCTCAAACGTCTTCACCGATTTGGCTCGCCATTAAAATTACAGCCAGAAGCAGGAAAAATCCGACTGTATTACTTCAGGGGAACATCGTATTTTGCACCTCAAATCGCCAAATGGCCGTATTTCTTCAAGCTAGCGTATATTTGGAGGTTATTTGGACAACCGTATTTTTCTGCCGTTTCAAATTTGCTACAAAGAGAACTGTACGTTAGCCTTTGCCATATATATATATATATATATATATATATATATGGGGAGTTCTACGGTATCCAGGGGTAAGAAAACGCTATCTAGAACTTGAATGATTTATCTTTCGGACATGATACTATACTCTAACCCTTAAAGATCAAAATCTAGGTCTTAATTCTCTAAATCTTATACCCCAAGATCAATTTAATTAGAAACAATATAATCGACGGTTATGATTCATCCAAATATAGGCAAAAAAATCAATGCATCATCTTAGGGTTTATAGTTTATGATTTAGATAATTAGGACCTAGGGTTCACTTGTTAAGGGTTAGGGTATAGTATCATGCCCAAAAATCCTGCTAATTCGAGGTCTAGATAGCGTTTTCATACTTAAGGTATGCGGTACCCCGGGTGAAATCCGAGTTACCGCATACCTTGAGTAAGAAAATGTTATCCAGAACTTGAATTGACTGATCTTCGGACATGATACTATACTCTAACCCTTAAAGATCAACATTTATGTCTTAATTCTCTAAATCTTATACCCCAAGATCAATTTAATTAGAAACAATAATCGACGGTTATGATTCGTCCAAATATAGGCAAAAAAATCAATGCACAATCTTAGGATTTATAGTTTATGATTTAGATAATTAGGACCTAGGGTTCACTCATTAAGGGTTAGGGTATAGTATCAATCCCAACAATCCTACTAATTCGAGATCTAGATAGCATTTTTATTCTCAAGGTATGCGATACCCCGGATTTCACCCAGGGTACCGTAGAAGGCACCATATATATATATATAGATGTAGATAGATTATATAAAATCTCATCTACATATGGATAATATTCTTCCTTGCCCCACATATCTACATTTGTTTCTCTATCTGCTACTTTCTGCTATCCTTCTTAAAGCTCCTAAAAAGCACTCAAACAACATGTATTCATCACATGATGAATAAGGGTGTTCAAATGATTACTGTGGTAATAACCAAACCAATTAATCCTGAATTTCATTACCATGGAATAAAATGTATTAACAAAACCTTCCAAATTAACACGAAAACCAAATTAACCAAACCAAAATTTAATTGGTTTGGTTAATCGGATAATCGGATTAACTAAATAACATAACATTACATGAAAACAATTATCCTATTAATGAATAAAACATAACCATATGTTATTACTATCATAAACTATCATTGTATATAAGCAATAATAATAAGAATAACCATCCATGATGATCATGATCATTCGAGTTAATACATCATTTATCATCTCTGCACCTAATATAGTTAGCTTACAACAAACCCTTAACATAAATTTTTTATACATATCAATACCACTCATCATGAAGTTAAAGCTCTCCTACAAAACACTTCAACTATACATAGTTTGAGGTGGCTGTCATGGTACTGTACGTAATCCTAAAGTCTAGTAGATGTCCAAAATATTTTGGTTTAGTAAATAGGCAGACCCGTTTAATTTTTTACCCATAGTGCTTTGATTTTTTGTGCACATGGAAATAAAATATGGAATCACGAAAGTTTGGTTTTGTTGGTTGCATGGAAGTATAAATAATTTTGTGTATTACGTGTATCATTAATTGGTTAATTGGTTTCATTGGTTAGCAGTGTTGAAACCAAACCAAACCACCTAAACCAAATAAGCTAAATTGTTTAACCAAACCAAACCAATTATCAAAATTAACCAAACCAATTTAACCGAATACTATCGGTGAATATGGTTACCACGGTAACCAATCTGTTTGAACACCCCTAGCGATGAAGGTCGCACTTCTATGGCGGCGGTTTGTGTTAGATGTGGAATTAATGAGGAACATCCAAGTGGGAATTGAGAGAGAAGTATTTGCGAGGGAAGACAATGTGTGATGGAAGGCGACATCTGTCAGTAGTCTCTTTGTCTACAGAATTGACTTGAGAGATTTAGCTTACGAATTCGCTGAGCGGGGAGCTAGAATGGGAGTGTAAGAGCGTAGATTCTTTGAGAATTATAATTTGAGTGCGGCGAAAGAGCATGAATATTATATTATTTAATTAATATATCATTTAACTTACTAACATGTCTTGGATAAAATATTACAACAATGTAGCGAAAAAATAAAAATAAAATAATTTTAGTATGATAATAGATTTAAATAATCAGATTAGGCCTGAAAAAGGAACACACTCCAAAAGTTGAATAGAAACCAACCAAAGTTTACGATACTGTTTTAATTTTTTATTGAAGTTTTTTAGTTTTATTTTTTTTTAAAAAGGAGAAATCAATGCATCGGTTATCCACCCCCGTGCACTCAATTAGTTGTTAATAAAAGAGTCAATATCTTCTTCTGTTCGATTCTTTGTTTTCTAAGTCGACGCTAGAGATCTCCTGTAGATGTACCAAATTGACAAATTCTATATCATCAGCCATCTAACTAACCTTTTATCATTTTATTTAGGATCAAGCTCGTGATTTGATGATCTATTTCACAGTACCCATTCACGAACTCGTGGTGTATCCTTTTCGTCTTTGCTCTCCAGATCTGTGACGACACCACATGTATTCCTTTCTCTCACGAAGAAGCTGGTCATCGTCTTCGAGCAAAAGCTGTTGAATTGGCAATAACTTGTTTCATTTTACTTTGTTTTTAGAGAGAAAATCTCTAAAATAAGTGATATATGAAATAAAATGTGTAAACTTTGATTTTTAGTTTGAGCTACAATTTCTGATTTTTGGAAGTTTGTAGTTTTTGTAAAATAAATGTGAAGCAAATCGGGTGTCCAGATTTGGGCCTCGACTGTTTGTTTTCCAGTTTCCTTCTGCATCTACGAGCAGGTGGGTTTTCAAATCGGGACCATGGCATTATCAGGGGAACCAGCTCTATCTAAGGAAGTGGTCGCCAGGGATTCAACCAGTA